TTCGGATAGAGTAAAAATACTGTGATTATAAGTTGTGATCGTGGGTAGTGATTTATAAGCATACTTTGCGGTAACTATTAAAACAAGAAAAAGAAAATCCTAATTTTCATCATTTGTAATACTCCCTTTTAACACAAAGAGATAAAAGTGTACAACTTTACTAATATTTATCAATAAGGTATGGAAATATGGTTAGAATCATGTTTTTTTATTCTGAAACAAACCTTAGGAATTATCCGGTTCTTACTGGAATTAGTTCTTAAATAAACCAGTGACAGGAGTGTGAGGGGTTCAGGTGGAATAATATTGGCCATATGTTGATAATTGTTGAAGCCAAGTGATGAGTACATGAGATTTATTATATTATTCTTCCTAGTTTTGCAGAGGTTTGAATATTTTAATAATAAAAGGGCATTTAGAACAATGTGGGGATTATCTAGGCCTAAATACTTATAAAACTATTTCTCACTGATGATCTAAGAATTCTACCACTCTGAGATTAAAGGCTCAAAACTTGAAAGCATGTTTAAGTAGCACATATTATCTAATTGAAACTTAAACAAGTATATTTATTTCCTTCTGCTTTGATGATACCCAGAAAGGTATTTGTTATTTTTCTGGGAACTGAAAAATCACATTACATATTAAATTAATTTTCCATCATCTAGAAGAACCCGTTCAAAATTTTCCCCTTAAACTACACGTGATTGAAGCTTCACCAGTTATCAATATTGGAGGGGGGAAATCTTTTATCAAATGGTCTGTCTTCTTTTTTTCAAATGCACTTTATTTTACCTTCTCTGAATCTTTAACACAGGTAAAACTCTTGGTAAATAAATAATCTTTCCCTACAGCTACACAATTTATGAAAGGTGAGAGGTCATCATTTAAGGTAATGGAGTGTAAACAAACGAAGTATGAAAGAAGAAACTGGTTTCAGGTGGCAATCATAAGACTCCAGCCTTTGAGACTTTGGCCTCAAGAAGAGCCTGTGAGCCACTGGCCATATAGCTCATAGCCAGTAGGTCTCCAACAACCTTCGTCCCAAAGTCAGTACCTTCATGATAAGTGGATTGTATGATTGTTCTGCCTTACAAAGGAGGCACTTATTAAAGAGTGAAACCAAGGTTTGTTTGCCATTGTCAGATTGGGAAGATGGTAAACATAGAAGAATGATTTTGCCTTAGAGTAAACTACTTCAAGCTAAGATTTTCAGAAAACCCATTTGATGTATTCTCATTGGTAGTATCAAAGAAAGGTTAAGCAACTTGCTGGTGGACACGCCCTGAATTAATTACAGCCAAAACTAGATTTCAGGTCTCCTAGTTTAAATGGTGCAGGATTTTTCTGCTCCTACATGAAAGTAAGCAATGAAAATAGGTTCTGTACTTGTAAGTCTATATAAGACCTTAATAGTCAACAAAAGAAGTACACATTTGAGGGGTTTTTTTCCCCCTCTATGGTATAAATATATTTAAACTTTGAAATTCTAGTAGGTTGAACATACTTGTCTAAGGGAGAGTTGAATACCGTCCTTCGACTACATTTTTGAATAATTTAGAAAATGATTGCTCTGACTTCCACGTAGTGTGGTTTCTCTGCCATGTCCTCGTGTAATCTTTTTGCATCACATTGTGAAGTCCTAGTGATAAATTGAATAACCATTAAGCTGTGACCAGGAAAGACATCCATCAGGAATAAATGTTCATTTTAGGGGAAGTTTTAAATATCTCATTCATCCTTTACCCTACTTTGTAAGATTTTTTTTTTTAACAGTCATTGGTATTCTCATTAATCAGGATCTAAGGGTCCTAGTCGCCACTGGTGTTCATCAGGGAGCAGAGCAATTTCCTGGACCAAACCTCCAACTTCAGGTTTAATCAGGAAACATGGGTTTTATTCCCAAGACAATCTTTAAAGTGACTAAAGCTGTTTCTCCTGGGATCCCCAATTAATCCAGGCAAAGGAAATTGCCGTTTCCCTGAATGGGTAGCTGCTGATGGACTGGCCATATGATCTTGATTAACTAAAATATTGACAAGTGAAAAAAGTATTTCTCAAATCAAGTCAAATAAATGAATCTCCTAACCAAATCGTCTCTTCCACATTCACGGACATTTTAACACATTCCTCAATTCCCTGCTCTCATTGATTATATGTTTCAGTTATGAAAAATGAAAGTTACATTTGACCTATTCAGCTGCCTTTTGTGTGCAGAATTCTTTCAGAGAGAAGTAGAAATTTTAATTGACTGGAAAAGAGCTTCAAATGTTTCAATCATCTCAAATTGACTGTATTGTATGGACTTGTGCTGTCCAATATTGTAGCCACCAACCACATGGGGCTACTGAGCATGTGAAATGTAACCAGTCCAAATTGAGATGTGCTGTCAGTGGAAAATATTCACCGGATTTCACAAACTTAGTAAGAAAAAAAAATGTAAAATATCTCACTAATATTTTTATACTGATTACCTGTTGAAATGGTATTTTATATAGATTCTATTAAGTAAAATATATTACTAAAGCACTGTTTGATTCAATTTCCTAGTACAAAATGGAGTTCCACTACTGCTAACAAGTATTTATATTGTAAATATTAGAAATATGATATTCTACAAAGATTAAATATATTTTTAAAATTTAAAGGTTCGTATCTAAGCCCAAGTTGTTTTACCAATTTCTTTTCACTTTTTGAAAAGTAGTTACTAGAATATTTTGAATTATGTTCACGACTTGCATCTATAGCTGGTATAGAACACCAGTTTCTGCTGTGCCAGTTCAGCCTCAATTTCTTTGGACTTTGTTTACCCATATCTTACATTGGCATAAATACATGATGTCAGCTTTCAATTATTTGTGCAAATAGGGACTGACAATGCTTAAGATTAAGATATTCCCCAGGTAATTCAAAACTAAATTTTAACTATTAATGTTAATCTCCTCTGTCACTCAGTTTTTTCCCAGTGCTGTCAGAAAATTATAACATGATTTGGTTTATGTTCATTCCCTTCCTCTCCCTTTTTTAGTGTGGCCTGCACAGAGTTATCAGTAAGAAATGGACTGCCCTGTAGGAAAGGAAGAGAAAAAAAAAATAGGAAACATGAATGGATAAGAAACTAGGACATCTGCTCCTAAGTGGTAGAAATCAGGGAGCTTCAAGTCCACTTTATGTATTTAACATTGTTTATGGATGGCCTGATATATATGGCAAGCCCTTGGTTGGTACTGAGAAAAAGCAGCCACGCCACAGTCTTTCTCTAATTCAGTTGTCACACAATCACGCATCACATTGTATTACTTTAGTTATCTGGGTGTCACACTAGTATGACAAAGTCTCGTGGGAGAAGAAAGTGGGAGAGAAATCCTTACTTACATAGAGAAGGAGAACAGGCTGGAAGAAGGAGACAAGAAGGCGGTCACTTGGGGTAAATAGCCCAAACTAGGGTGAGTTTCCAGTGGGAGTGCTAATGGCACACCAAAGCCCAAAGAAGCAAGAGCCCTTGAGTATGACAAGGGAAAGAAATTCAATCACACTAAATTAAAGGCCTTATAATAAATACTGAATGTTTATTTCATACCATCCCCATTTTAGAGGGGGGAAATGCCCTGGTCTAAAACTTCTTAGCTAGTGATGTCAGAACATATCATCCTAAGCTTAAACCAATTTAGACCATTTAAATAAGATAAAGTCAGTCTATAACAGCAATTAAGTGCTAGGTGTAGGAGACTTCTCCAGTGGTTTCAAAACCCTTTCTAGAAAAGAAAGCTTTCTTCAAAGCTCAAAGAGATATAGTCACACCCAGTAAAGAGCCAGGTAGGTGCCAGATAGGCTACATTATGCAGGTGCATCTAAAATTATTCAAAGTCATCTCTAAAAGAAAAATTAGACATTGAGAGGTTTTGGGTTTTGTTTTTGTTTTTGTTTTTGGTGGCTGGCCAGGACAGGGCTCAGACCCTGGATGCTGGCATTATGAGCACCACTTTCTAACCAAATAGCCAACCGGCTGGCCTGAGAGCTAGTCTTAACGTGAGAGAAACAGAGCTGTTTTCCCCCATTGAATCAGAAACTATCTTACTGAGAAGAAAGGTCCTTTTCAAAATTGGGCCACAGAAAAAAGCCATATAAAAGTTTAACCATTATTTATACTACTTACTCATTTGTGCTCAACCAGTCTCTCTAGTAGTCAGTCATGAGACTTCCCACCTTCTATACAATACTAGCACATTCAGCAATTCTCAGGCAAAGGCATATGGAATCTGAAAGAAATTTCCCCTTTAAAGTTTTGTAGAATACTTTAAACATTTTTTTTTTTAGAAAACACTTCTATGTGTTCTTTCATTAAATCCTCTTAAACATCCTCTGAGGTGCATAGAGAAGTTTTATCATCATGATTTTAGATGAATAAAATGAAGCACAGGGAGATTAATGCAAAGGCCAGATACTCCACATTTCTCAGGAACATTCTCTCTCCAACCCTCCTCACATGCCTTCTAAAGACACTCGTTCACTCTTGGTAGGCTATCCTCCCTTGTATCCCTTCTCTTTTGTTCTTTTATGTTCTAAACTTATCTAAGTCTGACCACTCTCACTGAAGGAAATATTCTTACTAGTGGAAGAACCGTCCAGATTCTTCCCACCAACCCTGCAGTCTTGCCTAAAAATCACTCACAAAATGAATCTGTCCACTCCCAGGACAAAAAAAAAAAAGTTATTTTACTAAAATGACCAGAATATGTTTCTATTCTTACTAGTGGAAGAACCGTCCAGATTCTTCCCACCAACCCTGCAGTCTTGCCTAAAAGTCACTCACAAAATGAATCTGTCCACTCCCAGGACAAAAAAAAAAAGTTATTTTCCTAAAATGACCAGAATATGTTTCTTTTTTTTTTTTTTTCATTTAAAGTTTTATGTCAGTTGTTTTGATTTGTCTTTGAAAGTTTTAAGGAACCTCTGTTTGTTGACAAACTACTTTGTCCTTGCTGTCCGTAAAACTGCAGGATGTGGCCGTGGCCCCAGGTTCGGCCAGCAGGGTTGCTAATGGCGATGGGGTCCCCGGAGAAGAACAAACTGAGAACAAGGAAGAAGAAAATCAATCCGGTGCTGTGAAGTTTGGCTGGGTGAAAGGTGTGCTGGTGAGAAAGCTCCTCTGTTTACCAAAGAAAACTATCCACTCCATGTGCTGGTGGACTCAGCGGTAACAAGGCTGGACACCAGAGTGCAGAGACGCCTGGGTCTTGTCCCACAGTCACTTCTCATGTCTCCTTCCAATGCCCTTCACTCCACAGGTGAGATGCATGCTGAATATCTGGGGGGTCATGCTCTTCATTCGCCTCTCCTGGATCGTTGGAGAAGCTGGAATTGGTAAGCATTTTTCCCCTCCTGAATAATTTTCGATGCAAGTTAAAAACTCAATAAGCAACTTGTTTTCACCACGAATGCTGAATGTGACATGAAGGTCACACAAGTACTTTACACTTGGGCTCCTTTTACTTTGCCTTTTTGACAATGTTTGTCAGAGGAAAGGGGAAGAGTTAACTCCTGTGAGACTGGAATTTTCCAGCTTGCCAAACAGGTGAATGAATGCTCAAGTAAATATTTCCATCTTTTGATAGAGTGTTAAACGTACAGGCATATAAAAGCACATTCATTTTAGATAATAATATTCATATTTTGGGATATATTAACATTCTCCCCTCGTTTGTAGCCTGGTATCCCTTTTATGAGATTGACAAAACTTCACTAGACAAAAATAACTTGTGGAGAAAATGTGACCTGAGTAATAAAAAAGCTGAATTATTAACATTTTCCAAGGAAAATAATTATGTTACTTTTAGGTACCAGAAGTAAGAAAATAAAAGTTAATAAAACATTGCCAGATATGGGCTTAAAGTGATAGAAGAAATAACTAAGATAACATATGTAACTAATGTTATGTATCAAATGAATGATATTGCTGTATTTTAAGAGTAATTATCTGTTTTTAAATATTATATTTGATTTAAAATAATATTTCCTGTAGCAAATCTTTTTTGTTGAAAATATGTTCCTATACAAAAATTTATTTGAATTTTGTAAAAGTTCCTGATTTAATGTGATAAAAATTAATGATGTTCTACTCTATACATGGAAAATACATTATGGATTCACTTTTGAGGGAAGACATAAATCATTAGTATCGAGAACATAGAAATTGTGATGTACTTTCATATACTACTCCAAAAGTTATCCCAATTCACTTTTAAAAGGTAGTTGGTCATTATTTATGGGCTTTGCTTCTCAAAACACAGTCAAGATCACCAGAAGACTAACTCAAAAAAGAAAGGGCTAAACTGTAAATTGGCATACTGGAACCAGTTCCCATAGTTTTTCCGTGTTTCGTGTTTGGCAGCTGCTGGGTTCCTGACGCAGGGCTGCTTGCCTGTTTTATGTTGCGTATCAAATGAATGCTTACAGCCGCGGGGTCCAAGATAAGTAGATGCTGTTGCATGGAAAATCTGCACCTTTATATTGCCAAGGTTTTGCTCCTGGGTTTCATGCAAAATTAGGTCTTTAAGGGCAGTTTAGTAACTTATTGAGATCATCAAGAAACATTACTTTGTTTGGAGGTGTGAGAGTAGCCAAGGGAAAGAGCAATTCTTTTTAATGCAATTTCTTTAACATCCATATGTTTGGGCAATAATCTGAACTTTAATCAGATCTTACCTCACTCTTCACAGTCAATCAAGTTTCAAGATTATGACAAAACTGTAAAATATGAAGAATCCTATCTTCTGCTAAACAGTTTATTACATTTTCAGACATTAGCATTGTTTTAATAAGGATCTTTTACTTAAGTAGTTAAATCACATATTAGAAGAGAACAGAGTTCTACCTAGTGCGTGTTCAATGGATTTTCCTTTGAAGTTGTGATTTTCTTTTTCTTTTTTAATTCTCAGAAAATAGACTTTAGTGAGTAGTAGAAACTTACTATCAACCTTACTGTTTTACTGGCCTTTGCTGTAAACCTAAAGCTGAGTGAGTTAAATCACCATCTGGGTACCATTTGGTTTCCTCTATTGGGAAAGAAAAGAAACAAATATAAGTATTTTCTTCTTGCTTTGGAATATTTGGGGGAAGAAACCTGAATACATTTTCAAGCAGACCCTGGGAATAAAGCCAGAAGGAATCTGGAGCCAGGAGTAACAGTAGCTACAGCCCTCGGGTAACAATTCTGGGGCTGAGTTTTGGCTGCCCCGTTCCCAAAAGAAATGGTATAATGAGCAATAATACTATCTAACTGCTCTTCTCTGTCTTGGGGACCTTGGCTGGTGCAATACAGTTTCCAGTAAATTTAACCACCAGGCAGGGAAGATGAGTGTAAAAAGCAGGCATGACCTGAAGCAAGTCACTTACACTCCATGAGTTTCACTTTCTCATCTAAAAATTAGGAAGCTCGGTTAATTCTTTCCCCATCAGTTCTTTGAAGATAAAGCTAAAGAACCTTGCTGAACAGGCAAACACAAGTTGAGATAGGCTGAGGGTAGTTTAGTCAGTTTACTGAGGGGTGAATAAGAATTACCTGGGAAATTAGGTTAGAAAACTGCAGAATCCTGAGATTCATTTTTAAAGACCGAAACTCAGTAAGTCTGGGCATTTTTAATAAGCACCCAAGGCATTTCCTGAAGCAAGTGATTTAAGGACCACACTTTGAGAAAGCAAGGGATTGGATGTTGTCTAAGCTACCTTTTACCCTAGGGTTTTATGTTTGATTATGAGAGAGAAGCAAATCCCTCACAGTTTAAAACTTTGTTCCAAGATTTCAAATGGTTTACAGAGACACAGATAATGCAAAGGCATGCATTAAGAAATGCTGTGAAAAGGAAGGAACCAGCCACCACTGGAAGCCCCTGGTCTCCCCTGTAGGAATGAGGGGGATGCCACGGGCCTCAACCACACCCCTCCTCCTTCCTCCTTCCTCCTTCTCCCACCCTATTTCCTTTCCCTTTCTCCTCTCCGCGTCCCCTCCAACTGCTCTGCAATATCTTAGAATGTAAAATATATATATACATTAATAAATAAACTTTAAAAAATTTGAAAATTAAAAAAAGAATTGTGATGGGCCATAATAATCATATACATTGTATATTGACAAAATAAAAATTTAATGAAAAAAAAAAAAGAATTGCTAGGAAAATAGAGGCAAAAGGAAAATAACAGGAGAAAGATAATGAAGTCAGAGTAGGTTTAATGCAATGAAATGCAAATGATATGTTCCTGTACAGTTTCTGGGGTGTGCTAAACATTGAATAGCAAACTTCCTGAAAACAAAGTCAAAAGAAAAATAATGTGCAAAAGATAAAAATAAATCACCTTTAGTGGCCCAGAGACCTGAGACTACACAGTGATATAGAAGTAATGCTCACCACAGAATCCCTGCAATAGATAAAGAATTTAATGCAACTGCATTTCTTACAACCCCTAGCTTTTAAGAGCCTAGAGGGGCCAGAGCAATATGGCCCATGTCTGCAGCATGTGCCCACTACTGGCCTCTTGACACTGCACTTTGTCCTGTAAAACAGCCAAGAGAATCGGGCTGGAGCCAGGGTGTAGCTGGGAGCATCACAAGAGCCAGCCTCTAGTACCTCGTTCCCATTTCTGCCCTTAACTTCCCTCCGCTTCCCCTTCTCTCCGGGGCATCCCCAGAGAGATCACAGCCTCTCTTGGCTGACTACACTTCCAATGATCCTTGAGACAAAAGAACCTGCTGACAATTGTGAAGCATCCACTTTATGTAGAGGTACGTACCTACTGCCCAGGCCAGAGCATTCCACGTGGAGCCAGGCCGAGTTCAGTGGCTCTGATCCCACAATTTTCTCTCTGAATTCTGGGTTGGCTTCCATTGGAAAACGTATAATAAGAGAGAAAAACTGTTTTCCCCTACCTATCTTAAGTTCACTGGCAGGGGACCTATAAATTAGACTGACAAAATTCAGATCAACAAGAAAAAAAAAAAAACAGAAGTGTGTTAACCTGTGCATCGAGCACATACATGGGAGCAGACAGTGTTGAAAGGCTCAAAGGAGTGGTTAAAACATGGGCTTATAGATCATCTTAACAAAAAACAATAAAATTGTAGAGACAAAGGGAAAAAATTTTGAGTTTCTAGGTTGGCAAATTGTGGGAAGGTAAATAAACAGGGAAACTGATGGGAGATAAGGGCTGATCTGTAAGGCTTGTTGTGTAGATTCCTGTGGCTTCTTCTTCAGGCTGATGAGGGTCTAAGTCTCTGGTGATCACCTTCTGTCTTTCCTAGTGGAGAGACAAAGGGGGACAAATTTACAAATCTATGACCTGCTGTTAGGCAAATAGGAAGGGAGCAGAGAGCTTTTTTTGTGTCTACTTCTTTTCAATTGCCTTCAGTTCAAAATAATCCTAAAGCCAAAGTGGTATATTCTGGCATATTCTACCACGCATTAGTGTCCTCCTGGCTTTGTGTTTCTTGAAGCTGGAAATACTTCTTTTCAATTGCCTTCAGTTCAAAATAATCCTAAAGCCAAAGTGGTATATTCTGGCACATTCTACCACGCATTAGTGTCCTCCTGGCTTTGTGTTTCTTGAAGCTGGAAGCAGACACGCTTTCCTCTGAACTGTGGCTTCTACTGCTTTCTCCTTCTCATTATAATCATTGACTTGAGCCATAAAATCCTTGAGGGCAGCTTTTTTCATTTCATTTTATTTGTTCCTTGCATTTCTCACACTGCCAAACACACAGCTGGATACATAGTAGGTTTTTAATAAACAGGGGCTGTTGTGACTATGGCAGAAAGGATCAAAAAGCAGCAGCACTGACTGCATGATTCTATGCACCACGCTCGCCACTTTACACATGCATGCTTTCTGCTGCTGCTGCCATTTTTGGTTCAGAAAATAAGTACCTTGCCAGAGGTCACACAGCCAATAAGTTAATATAGTTTAATTTGATTCTTTCCACTTGACCTATCTGCCAGATGAACAATTTGCTATACTGTATGTAATTTTCCACCTCTACAAGACCAAATGTACATAAGAAGGAAGTTACCTGGAAGGATGAACATTTAATCTCTATTTATATTAACAGCTCAGAATTCTAGATCAATTATTATGTTTATAGGTATCTAAGACTTCACCAAAGATGGGGTTCGCATTAAATTTTGACCAGACGTAGTCGTTCCGTAGTTGTTCAGTTGTGTACAATTTAGCACTGCACGTTTTAGCTCTGAGTTTCTTGGAACCCAAGCTACTGCGGGCAGAAAACTTGGAAGCTGAGCATGTATTCTGTGGTGACTTATGGGCTGACTTACTAAACTCAAATGTGGTCCTTTGGTGATTACCCTAGACTTGCTGGCTTTTATGTAAATGACATAATGGATTGTTCCACCATTTAATTGACTTTATTTTCCCTCTCTCAACTGAGGTCTTGGTGTGATTATCATCGGCTTAGCCGTGACAGTGACTGCTATCACTGGTTTATCTACCTCTGCTATTGCCACAAATGGATATGTCAGAGGAGGTAATTTAACTTGTGTGACTCGCACCATCATTTGTAAGGTAAAGGCAACACAGGCTCAAATAGTTCACCACTGACCTTTCTGGAGTGTTTTCAAAGGTAACGCAAGTTGGTTCCTTCCCTCCACCCCTATCCACAGGCAAAATGATGCAAGAAAAATGAGGAAGGATTTAACCTTTGTCAAACCCCCAACTTTCTCATTCAGGTTCCTCTCAAGCAAGAGAGAAGGTCAAATGTCATGTTTTCTCTCTTCACAGCCAGGATAGTTTCTCTCCTAGGACATGAGCATAAGTCAACTTTTCCTTTCCAGGGCTGCATTTTAGATTGTGTTTACTTTTGGAAACCATCCTTCATCATAATGAGCAGTTCTCCAACTCGATCCTTATCAGGCATACAAGTTTCTTTTTAGCACAAAGAAACCCCGTTGGAGCCCAAGGTGTGGATGCGAAAACTTAAATTAAAGGCAGCATAGTTTGCAGCAATGGGGCGTCTGAGGACGAAAAGTAAAACATATTATCTTCTATCTTTCATTGCTAACAGGTCTTGGAGTTCTCATAATTCTTCTTTCCACCATGGTAACTTCCATTACTGGGTTGTCAACTTCTGCAATAGCAACTAACGGGTTTGTTCGTGGAGGTAAAATCTCTAAGATATCTAATGCCCTCATCACTTGCACGGGTAGGCAAAAATTTTTATATACTTCTTTTTGATGAGGACCAGGAAGTAGCCCCATGTTCTTGAAGCCTGGCTAACTATTTGGAGGAGCTGGATGCAGAAGGAAACATAAGGTACGGTGAGTATAGTCCAGGATTTCTCTGGTCAGGTCTGGTCTCTTTCCTGACAAACCTCTCTGGCACATTGCAGGTCATGTGTTATGGATGCACAGATTCCTCAAGCAAATGTTTTACTTTTCAGGTTAGTCTGCACACATCTTGTTGGTGTTTCTTGGAAAATGATTCCTAGACATGGCTTCAGTTTTAAAGTTTAGTACATTTCAGGTGCTTTCTACACATTCATGGAATGGGATCTTTTAGAACATTTCAGGTTTTCCTGAGACTGATCCTTCTGTGACAAGATTCAGACTGTTGCCTGCTGAAGTACTGGTGACTTTTCTCAGTACTGGAGCCAAACACCTTTCTTGGGGGATTTTGCAGGTCTTGGAGTCATCGTCATTGGCCTGAGTGTGGTAGTGACAACACTCACAGGTATTTCTATGTCTGCTATTTGCACAAATGGAGTAGTAAGAGGAGGTAAGCCAATTCACTTGACTTCAAACTTTGGTTATGTAGTAATGTCTAGAGTTGATTTAATACTGGAAGTAAAATTTGCATATTGCCGATCAGCTCCCCTGGTCTTAAAACAAAACAAATTAGCCCAAAATTTAAACAGCAAGGCAAAATTCTTCTCAAGTAAAATTAGAGATCTCCAGAAAAGACTTATTCGACCCATTTCCTGTGATGAAATATGTTTATGCGGTGGAAAGTGACCATGAGTCTAATCAGAAAGCATGGAATATTACAGTAAAATATACAGTTTCTCTGTGCCTTGCACGCACCCTGCTGGCTCTCTCCCAGGGCCCCTTAGCACAGCTCTTCTCCAGCGCCCAGCTAGCACTGGTGACGACTCCCACTCAGCAATCCACTCCTGCACCCAGCCCTCAGGGGTCACACCACACACTGTGCTCCCAGTGGCCAACAGGTATGGGAAGATCATTAAAAAGAAAATAAAAATCAGTGCACAAAACAAATCATCCGGGAGCAAGCAGTCCTAGGCAGACAGTGAAGTGGGGGAAGCTTATCATTATTCTCCTCACTTCCTTTCTCCCTTGTCCCCTGCCCCTTTGGCTTGTCAGGTTCTCCACTTGGAGACCTTATCCAGGTCTCCCTACTCAGGACCTTCTGATACCACCTTACTCACAACACGCCTCCTCTCTTGACTTCTACCTGTCTCTCATATTGACCAAGCCTACCTGGTTATCTGGCTAGCTAATTTGTTTAATGTAATCTGGACAAAGGAAATAACGGGTATTTGCTCCACCCAAATAATATGTTGCATTTTTAGAGAGGACTTTGATCCCTTAACCCAAAGGAGTTACTTTAGTGAAAGAAATTTCTTCTCAGTAAAAGGTATTTTGTTTCATCTTGTTAGGTGTTTTTGTTCAGGGTTGCCATTCCAACTCTATCTGGCTCAGTACAGGAAGTCATTCATTTATAGGAAGTCTGTGATAATCGGGCTTCTCAACATCTAGTCTTTTTTACCTTCAGTAACCCGCTCTAGGTACCCTCTAGTCTGTTGACCATGTGCGCAGAGTACACAGCCATATATAGAACTACTTTTTCAACATCCAGGGGAGAAGCAAGTATTCCAAGCCTTCCTTTCTTTTCTTCCCACTTGCCACCTTCATAAAAGTATGGGTATTTGGCAATAATCATGGCTTCTTGAGCTAAAAACATAAAAATCCAAGTCTGATTTATAGAATGAATAATACATAGATTATACAGATACCTTTTTTATGCAGCAAATACATAACAGAAATTTATGTATGTATGCAACGGAAAGGAAGTTAGAACAACAAAGGTACATTTCACCTACTTTATTTTCTACCTAGGTCTTTCTGTTCCTGAAAATTTTGGATATAAAATTTCACTTCAGTTGCATTAATAATTTGAATAGTCCAATGATATTTTCTTAAGACAAAGCATTTTTTTCGTAAAGTTTGCTGTGTTCTTATTTGTAGCTTTTTTTTACATTTAGCTTTCAGAAAATTGGATTTTACTAAGTCAGGATACTTCTATTGTAGACTATGTGCAGGGTATAAGGGAAGGTTAAGTTGTTCATTCGGGTGACACAGGATTCCTAAAATTAGGAAGTTGTGTATCAGAATAATTAACATTTCAATGTTAAATGTTTTCAGACATTCAAAATCATTTTGTCTTATCAACTGAATTTCTTAGCAGTTCCTCAGAGTTAAACTTGTTCATTTCTTGTTTCAGGTGGTGCCTACTACCTTATTTCCAGAAGCTTAGGGCCTGAGTTTGGTGGGTCGATAGGCTTGATCTTTGCTTTTGCCAATGCTGTGGCTGTTGCTATGTATGTGGTGGGATTTGCTGAAACTGTGGTAGATCTTCTTAAGGTAATTAAAAGCTTTTCTCTTATTTAGCTAAGCAAGATAATTCAGTTCACTTTACTTTCTCAGAGCACTTGGGTATATCATTATTCTAAGATGAAAGGGAAAAAGTTAGACGTAGGGGAAACAGCCTTGGGCGTGGCCTCAGAAGAGCTGGCTTTGAGTCCCAGCTCTCAAGTTTGCCATTGAAAAACTTTGGATGAGTTCTTCTAGTCCTCTGAACCTCATTTTCCAAATCTGTAGTATAAGCTAATAATACCATTCCAGGTATTTCACAGAAGTGTGGTACAGATCAAACGAAATGATGTACATGAAATATCATGTAACATATGAAACATCAGATAAATAATGGATATTATTATCAGCAGCAATACTACTCTTATGTTTATAGATTTCCAACGGGAAAGAAAATTCAAACATTATAATAATGCACTGCAAAAAATGAGGCATGTCCTAGCTTAGGTGCCCAGACTAGGGTGGTGTATAAGCAAGCATGTTAATCAGCTGCTATATGAACTAACTTCTAGTCCTCCTCTCCTGGTGACAATAGCATTACTGAATTCAATTGGTGAAAGTGCCTCTATTTGAAAATCAGATGAATAAATGAGTGTATTATATAGTTCATAAGATATGTTAGCATCAAGAGATGCATTATCAGGTTTGTGTAGTGTGTTCTTAAATTGAACAGCACTTATTTTCCAATATTAACACTGTAAAGCATTCATTTTTATTCCTCTAGGGTTCCCCTTGACAGAAAAAAATAACTAGTTCTTCTAAAACAAAACACGATATGTGTATGTACATATGCTTTTACTAAGTGCTACAATAGCTTCAAAAGCTGTGACTAGAATGAATCTCTAAATTTCTCACTCCAAAGCTTGGCTATCAAAGGCCTATTATCACAGAAAAATGAGTGCTAGGTTCTTTATCTTCTCAAATTTATGAGCACTTTATTTTTCTATTATCCCATTCTGCCCCAGGCATAAGTGTAGAGTATCTCTTTTTACTGCTAAATGTTACAATAAGACACACATGCAAAAGGCTGTACCTCTACCCATTTTGGTGATCTTTTTCCCCAGGAGAGTGACTCAATGATGGTGGATCCGACTAACGACATCCGGATAATAGGCTCCATCACGGTGGTGATTCTTTTAGGAATTTCAGTAGCTGGAATGGAATGGGAAGCAAAGGTGAATTCTCAAAATGATGTTATTAACATCTGCTGGTCGGGTCCTGAACAATTTGCAGGAATAGAAGCATCTGCTTTTTCAAAAAGAATTGCTGTTATTACTCGCTGTAGGTCAGCGCTGTGTGGAACACCAAGCCCAGAAAGCAACACGTCCAGGAAGTCATGATCCACAGCTCATGTGTCACATGATTGGCCTGTCTTTTGTTCTTTTTGCTATCATCATAGTGACACAGCCACAGGTTGCTGCCATGTTCATGCACAGACCCCTTATGATCATAGCAACAGTGCACATTGGACGCTTGTGTCTGTCAACCTCAAACAGTGGCATCCCTCTCAAGCTGCCTGTGGCTGCTGAAACCCAAAAGTAGTAGCAGGTGTATTAGAAGAAGTTAATAGAGGCAGAAACTGTCATTCTCGACTGAAGCCCAGTACTTCACCAACAGATTTGAGTGTATCATAGGCTTTGAAACCAGAAAATATCTGGGTTTAACTAGTAGTAAAACAGTAAATTTCTGAATGATGGGGAGCATGTTCTTTGCCTCCTTCCTAACTCCCTACAGTGATTGGTGCAACTGAAAATGTTCAGATGCATGGGTGGTCACCAGAAGTGGAAAGGTGGCCAAGGACTCCCACATCTATAAGGCAATACAAAACATCCCTACGTGGCATTTACTTGTGGGTTGTGCATTCACACATTAAACAAAAATTAATTGTCTACCAGCACCAGGCATTCTGCTAAGCACTACATGTTTAGTTGTGACCAAAACAGGCACAATCCCTGCCGTAGTTCAGCCTATGATCCACGGATAGGTGAGTAATAAACAAGGAAATAAAGAAATAAATATAAAACGGTAAATTGTGAAAAGGACTATGAAGGAAATAAACAGGACACTAACATAGAAAAACAGGGGAGACCTTCTTTAGATTACTTTATTCCCTGGGGGAGGCAGTGTAGTTTAATCGTAGTAGAGGGTAGTATTTAAAGTTCCAGCTCTGTAGTCAGAGTGCTTGAATTTGAATCTGGTTTACATTTCCGTGACCTTGAGTTAATTATTTAACCTCTCTGTGCTTCAGTTTCTTTCTCTTTAAAATGGTTATAACAGTATTACCAACTTCATAGGGTCATCAGTGGTATTACTTAGCTGAAAGAATACTAAGGTACTTCAAAAAGTTCATGGACAAATAGAATTAAAAGATATTACAAATCTTTCCATGAATGTTTTGAAGTACATTTGTACAGGTAAAGTTAAATCTGCATCTGTCATGCTGTAAGTCCTCAGTGAACACTAGCTGTTATTATTTAGAGTAACTGGTCGAGGAAGGCCTCTCTGAGGAGGTAACAAGACTTAAAGGATGAGAAGGAAACAGCTACACAAAAAATGGGGTGAAGTGTGTTCCAGGTAGAGGGAACAGCATGTGGTAACTCCAAGGCAGCAAACACCTTGAAATGCTGGCACCACTGAAGGAAGACCATTTGCCCAGCCAACCTTGCAGACTGCTTGTGCTGAGCGCAGACTGGCAGCTTGGCATCAAGTGCACTGGGCATTACAGGCATTCTGTGAATCATTCTGTGTTCTCAGACTCTTTCTGCAGTTAGCACTAGGAAAAAAAAAAAAACCATAGGGGTTCTGCCTAGAAAAGAACCCAAGTCTGTCAGTTTTCAAACTTTTGGCTTCATTTATGTTCCCGGAACCATTGCTGTTGCTACCCACTTACTACTTGGACTATTCTTGAAATGTCATCTTCAAGTGCCCAAGAACATGCTACCATGAAAATGTAGCATCTGCATCCAGGTAGAATAAGGCTTAGTAAGATGCTATTCTATAATTGCACCTATTCCAGGCAGCACAGTCTTCACTGGAATAATCAGATGAGTCTGTCTGCAGTGAACACATAACTTATATAGTTATGTATAAAGTTGTTAAACACATCTAATTTGGTCTCCTTTTACTTTGCCATTCCAGGCCCAAGTGATTCTTCTGATCATTCTTCTCATTGCTATTGCCAACTTCTTCATTGGAACTGTCATTCCATCCAATAATGAGAAGAGGTCCAGAGGTTTCTTTAATTACCAAGGTACACGTGACAAATCAGTTGCTTTTCAGTAAATCGTTCTCCACTCCCTCCGCATCACCATCTCCATCGCCATGATCCTAGCCATTGAAATCCCAGTGCAGTCCAGGGGGGAGCCAGGGTTGGGTGTCAACTCTGCCACTCAGCAGCTGGACAGGTCATATAACGTGTTTGGGTCTCAGATTTTTCTGCTAAAGTGTGGATGATAATAATAACTTCTTGAGAGGATTTTGAGAAGTAAATAAAATACCAGATGTGAAAGTGCTTTGGGAACCTTAAAGTGCTGGCCAAATTGTTGTTGCTGTCAAATAGTAGAAACAGAGAGCATACACAGGGAATTTTTCTGCTAAAGTGTGGATGATAATAATAACTTCTTGAGAGGATTTTGAGAAGTAAATAAGATACCAGATGTGAAAGTGCTTTGGGAACCTTAAAGTGCTGGCCAAATTGTTGTTGCTGTCAAATAGTAGAAACAGAGAGCATACACAGGGAGAGAAGACACAGCTCAAGCAGTGTATTCAACCATCGCAGAGCACTAAAGTCAAACAGTCATTTTTTCTTCCTTATAGACGTTTTTGCATCTTGCTTTCCTATAGCCTTACCTAGTTAAGCATCACTATCAGGTTTTCAGGCATAAAATGGAGAACTTAGTGTAGTATCCTGTGATAACATCATTTTTTTAATTGGTTATGAATATTCATGGGATACAAAGCTGATTGTCACCACTCATACCCAAGATGTGATGGCCAGATCCATACTAGCAGCATGCCCATTACCACAAACTGTGACTATACCCCATGTCCCCCACCCAATTATCCCCAGCCTCCCTTCCCATCCACCTTTCCCCCACTCCACTTTGTATCCCTGGGTATGTTCTCTCCCTCTACAAGTCCAACGCACCACTGTGGTCTTTCTTTCCTTCCTTCTTTCTCTCTTAGCTCTCACTTACGAGTGAGTACATGCAGTATTTATCCCTTTGTGCTTTGCTTATTTCACTCAACGTGTTTCTCCAAGCTCCTCCATGTTGCTGCGAATGGGAGAATTTTCTCTTAAGAACAGGAACAAGACAAGGATGCCCACTCTCATCACTTCTATTTAACATAATACTGGAGGTACTAGCCACAACAATCAGGGAAGAGAAAGAAATAAAGGGCATTCAGATTGGAAAAGATGAAATCAAACTGTCCCTATTTTCAGATGACATGATACTATATGTAGAAAAACCTAAAGACTCTGTCAACAAACTAGAGCTGGTTAATGATTTCAGTAACATTGTAGGATACGAAATAAATGCCCCCAAATCAGTTTCATTTATATTCTCCAATAATGAGCTAACATAAAGAGAAATCAATAAAGTAAGCCCATTTACAACAGTCATGAAAAAAATAAAATACCTAGGAATCAATTTAACCAAGGAGGTGAAAGACCTCTACAATGAGAACTACAAACCACCACTGAAAGAAATTAAAGACACAAAAAGATGGAAAGACATTCTGTGCTCTTGGATTGGAAGAATTAACACTGTGAAAATGTCCATACTACCAAAAGCGTTAAACAGATTCAATGCAATCCCCGTCAAAATACCAATGACGACGTCATTGAGCATGACTTGTCACTTCCTTCTCTCCTGTTCTACTCCACGTACCTCTGCCTTCCTATCTTTCCTCTCTAGCTTACCCCAGAATTCACTGCTGAGTTGTTTTATATTTCCCTTTGTTATTTACGCGGTTGTCAGTATTTGTTTCCTTTCTACATCACATCTCCTCTTTCCTCTTCATTCTCTTTTTTTCTTTTATAAAGATTATCTTGTTTGCTTTGCATGTTAATATCCTTTTTCTTTCCATTCATTTCCTTCCTTTTCACTCCTACTTTATTTTTTCTGATGTTTTAAGCTTTATTTCCTTATTTTTACATTCCAGATTCTCTCATTCACATTTTTCTTCCTCCTCTTCTTTTTCCTGTTTTTTTTTAGACTGTTTCCTTTTTATTTAAGTAGTTTCATGGCAACTTGTGGAATCGTATTATTTTATGAACAAAGCTCCTCACTGTATTATTCTCCTGTACATGCGAATTTGGCATGAGGATCTAAGATCCAACCTCTGGTAGTGAGGAGTGAGGATATTAGATCATTAGCAGCAAAATTGTACAGTGCCTCGCCCACTAGTTCCTTCTACAATTAAAAACACAGCATAGAAAAACAATATATTGATTGCTTAAGGTATTTATGCATGCGAAAATGTTGTTTTATGTGTATGGGTTGTGTGTGTGTGTGTGTGTTTGTAGCAGATCTGTGACTAAGCCAGTATGGTCTTCAGAGAATTCCTCATCTCCTCTTTCAATCCCTTCTAGATTAAAAGAAGTCAGGCAGCCTGAGTCTCTGTTGGCACAAAAATTATTAATTTTTCAGAGCTATGTCCTAGAGACTTAAAACCCTATGATACATATTTTTGCTCTTGGCAAATATTAACGTAAGTTTCATTAGGAGTACACCAAAATCTTCAAGTTTATTCCATTTAGGATATAAGGATGTATTCGCATTTAGGGTTATAGATGCAAAAGGTAACTTTATCTTCTACTCTGTGGAAAAAAGTCAAAATGATTTTTTTTTTTTTGGTTAATTCTACTGCAGCATCAATATTTGCAGAAAACTTCGGACCGAGCTTCACAAAGGGTGAAGGCTTCTTCTCTGTGTTTGCCATTTTTTTCCCAGCAGCTACTGGAATTCTTGCTGGTGCCAATATCTCGGGAGATTTGGAGGTATGTTGTTTTCTTTGCCTTGTAATCCTCAGAGGTGGTGGTGCAGTTGGTGGGGAGCACAAAGAACTATAGAGATTGCATGTGACCTTATTTTTCGACAGATTCAAAACTACAAGATTTCTGCAAGATTCCCTGGTTATTTAGAAGTTCTCTCTTTTAATGCCTAATTTGGATTATTATTCCAGATCATTCTTCCAAAAGTCTTTTTCTTTTTCTTTCTTTTTTGTGGCTGGTGGATATAGGTATCCAAACCATTGACTTTGGTGTTGTCAACATTCCAAAAATCTAATCTTGTATGTGTTCCCTCTAGGAGTAAGCAAAGAACTAGAAGATATTATCCCTGTCCAAAAAGGCAAGACTTAAAATTCCCTTCTCCCAAAACAAGTGATAATTTGATTTAGGCATGTTATGTGAGTAAAGAGTTTTATTTATTTATTAGTCTGTACTGAGAAATCTCTTTTGAATTACATATAAAAAAAGTACAGAGGATGGACTGCCATGATTTTCAGGACACGTATGTTCATAGCATTATTGTAAAATGTTGCATTATTTCTATTTTTTAAAAAAAAACTTTTAGATTTTAAAATTAAGCTTAACTTCTAGCATATACACTATTATATACTTTTAAATAGAACTCAGAGGTCTTTTAAAACTACAAACAATGGAGTTTAAAATGGATATTTTCTCCAAAGTAGCTAAAGACACTTAAGGAAGTTAGACAAGGGAGTAATGTGATTAGATCTGTGTTCTAGAGGCAGCCCACTAACAGCTTGTGAAGGACGGACCAGAAGGTGGGAGAGTAGGGGTGACAAAGAGAATGGAGGCAGAAAGATCAGCTAGAGACTATCACAGTAGTCTGGACAAGAGATGACATGGGCCTAAATTAAGGTTACATAGGAAAAAAGGATAAAAGGGGTCAGTTTTTGTTAGAGTTTGGAGAGGACATGGAAAGAGTGTTTTTTACTATGATCATACATCACAATCTAGTGTACACTTACAAAATTTTTCCCAAGTGGCTCTTTATTACAAGCAATGCCTTCTGATATTTTCACATGATTTCTATTCTATTGTATTCTTTTAATGCTCATTGTAACCTACTGAATTGATTCCATGGCATAGCAGATGAGGAAAAGGAAGCTCAAATTTGGCCATCGGGGTTGAAGTGGCAGGACATCAGAGCGGAGATGTCTAGTGGGTAGCTAGAAGTATGGGTCTGAAGCTCTGAAGAGGAACTAGGACAGGACTGGAAGCAATGGCATGATCCAGCTCACCCAGGTATGTGCAAGAGGAGGAGGAAAGAGGCCCAAGGTGGCACTCAGCGAAACACAGAGTATTAATGGTAGAAAGTCCATGAAGAAAAATGAGACAGAAAGAGCTGTCTAAGAGGTAGGGGAAACCACGAGACCGTGGGGCCATGACAAGCAAGAGACGAGAATGCTTTGAGAAGTAGAAAAAAGCCTGAGAGGTCAAGCATGTTAAATACTGACATAGCACAGATGTCGGGAAACGGCAAGGAAACTTCAGTACTTACAGATATTATTTCTCTATGACAGTGAAACTAGAAATAAAACATAATGGATTCAGTTCAATTTAGCAAACATTTACTGTTTATGCACTATGTATAGGGATATGCAAGAAGCTGACCTCTGCCCACAGCCTCAGAAGCCTTCTCCAGATGGCACTTCAGGCTTCCAGTGACAGTCAAGAGTTGGCACAAGGCCATGCTATAAAGATCCCATCCTGAACCTTTATCTGTTAATTACATGCTAATAGATGGTCTATAAATATGTACCTGGGAGAAATTTGAGAAATACTTAAGTCTAATCAAGAGAGTTAAGATATGATTTCAGAGATGCAAAATTAGGATGTGATTGACACACCCCAAATGCAGAAATCTAATAGATTGTTTTCTGTTAATTACATGCTAATAGATGGTCTATAAATATGTACCTGGGAGAAATTTGAGAAATACCTAAGTCTAATCAAGAGAGTTAAGATATGATTTCAGAGATGCAAAATTAGGATGTGATTGACACACCCCAAATGCAGAAATCTAATAGATTGTTTTTATTCTGTCTTAATGAAAAACTACAGTGCTTAATGAAGAAAGATGGAAGAAGGTTAAACTCTGGGTTGCTAGTGGGGGATAGAAACTAAAATTTAGAATGAAAACTAAGAATCTGTCAAAGTTCCAAACTCTGTCTAGGAGAAATGCAGTCAGACCAGACAATATGAATACGTGATCATGCTTTAACATATTGGCATCCCAATTTATGTGTTACTGTCTGAGGGTCAATTTAGAACTCATGTAACTTCTATTAAGTAATTTAGAGCTTGTACCAGATAGTTGTAAACAAAAACTAAGTTTATGTGTTTTAGGTACAAGACTGCCTTCCATCTTCACACCTCTTCTCCTTATATATTTCCTTTCTTCCCACTCAAGTTACTTCTTCACATTTCACTCAGATACCAAGAAATTCTTAGTCAATAAAATAAATTTTGAAACATAACACGAATGGGGGGACTGAATGGTACCCATTTCAGCCATGATCTCTTTCTTTCTTCTGTGTGCTACTCCATTGCACACACCTGCCACAGTGACGTTTGGTGACAATAGTTTGGAAGGAAGAGACTGGGTATGTATGAACCAGAACAAGCCCTGTGTGCAGATATTCCTAGAAGAGTGGGGCAGGAATTAATGATCACAGAGTGGCTCCATAGGGCTGGCTTACTCCCACGTGGGGGCAGGTTTGCTTGATCCAGTTATGACTTCCAGCTGTCAAGTGGAGTCTACATTCACTTTAAGCAACCTTTTTGATGGATTGGATCGGCATATTTAAGTTTTTTTTAAAAAAGCTCAAACTTTGTTTGACTGTATTGATTGCTTATTTGTATTGATGAGTCTCATATCCTCTGGTGGGGGGACTAATGCCAACTGATATTGTGCTTCCTTCAATTCAATATTTATTGACTCCTACTATAAGCCGGGCACTGTCCTGTATAAGCAATAAATATATTAAAATCTCTACTTAATAATCCCTGTTAAATTGAATTGAATATAATCCAATATGCTCCTTAGAAATTGACTTGATATGATTTAGCCCCCAAAATAGGATATAAAATGGTAAATTAAATATGATGTAAACTCAACTCACTGAATATGTATACATTTATAAGCAACAGAAAAGCCCATTTTCTAGTATAAGCTTGAATTTGCCTCTTTCCTTATGCTTATGGAAATTGCAGTCATTCCTGAACTAGATTCCAAATGGGGGATTTGAGGGATTGGAGAAATGAGCAGATCATTCTTTTTGCTCAGTCAAAAGTAATTTTTTTTAAAGGCAAGCTTTAGCTCAGTATAAAACAAATGCACACAGTTACCATCAATGTGCCAGGTATGTTTCTGTATTTTCCTTAACACTTCAAGGTCTGATACATCTACGTAAAATTCACAGGATAAAAAGAGAAAGCCTTGGTAAGTGAACTATCTAGTGTACTTTCCTGTAAAACTCCCTCTTGGACAGTTAGAGATATCTCTGTTCAGTGCAAAGTTGTACAGATTTCTTTATTCATTCTAAACATCCTTTGTCCAAACAGAACTCGAGCTCACCACTTTGCATTTGCTTGATCTTTTCTTCAGAACGTGCCTCAGAAATGGTAGCCTATACACTTGAAAATACAGAAATAACTCCAAGGGATCTATGTTTCTTATTCTGTTCTGTATTCTCCCATCTCCACATTATTTTTTAAAGGATCCCCAAGATGCCATCCCCAGAGGAACCATGCTGGCTATTTTCATCACCACTGTAGCCTACATAGCAGTTGCCATTTGTGTAGGTAAGTGGTCCGTCTCTGCTGGTAGAACGTCAGATTTACACGGAGTCCAGTTGTTCTTTGTGTTTAGTGGGCTTTCAAGAAAACATAAGCAGAAAGTTTTTTGTTTGTTTTTTTTAAAGGCAGCCATTTTAATTCCCTTTTTGGTAACTTAATGTTAATGGTTTGGATGATTTAGGGGTTTAAATGCAATTAAGCTGTAATGAAGTCTTCTCTGGGTCAGGGCTGGAGTAGAGCTGATCAGATTGTCATTCTATCTGAACACAGAGGGTCCCATTTTGCTACACTAGGTGGTAATCCCACTGCTAAGGAAGCCACCACTTTTATCACACACTTCCCTTGCTCTAGGAAGCAGGTAAGGGACAGAATGTAGAAGCAAAAAAAAAAAAAAAACAAAAAATAGCCTTAGGAAAGTAAGAAAGGTGTGGATTTTATGACTGTGTCTCATTCCTGCACTGTTATCCCTATTATGGAATTGTCACTGTCACCAATTGGCAGGAAATAAGAACAAGACCTAGCTGCTGGCAGTGCGTGTGGTCAGGCCCCCCATTGCTCAGTGAGCAGAAAATATGTATTCACCTGCTGTTCCTGAGGTTGACTTGGGTTCCACCTGTCACCTGAAGCCACACCTCCTCCCTGGTTGGGGGCCACCTCGTGCTTATGCCATAGTAGGAGGGAAAAAATGTGACTTCCCAACATTCAGAAGGGAAAACTCTTTTCTATGCTCAATACGAAGTACGGCTCCAGGCTGGACTACTATCGAAGCCTGACAAGCAGTTACCAAAGGGTACATCACAGTCATCCTGTGCTTACATAAGGGAAATTGAGAAAGTGCATATATCTTGAGCTGATTTCTGGAGGGAAAAAAGAAAAAAAAATTAACTTACATTTTGCCTCTTATTTGAGGAAATTGGATAAGGTTGTTAAATGCATTGCTGTGGCATTTCCAAGTTTAGCTACATGCAAAGAGATTATGTTCCAATGCTTTAGGAAATTGACGTGTTTTTAAATGACATTGTAACCACCTGAAGTTAAATTTCCCAATGGTTTTCTTTTTTACACACAGTAAAAATGAGGGAATGAGTAATGTTACAGAACTGATTTCAAAGATTCTTCTAGTTTTTGCCTCCAGATGGGTAGAAAAATCTGCATTTCTATATTTACCCCATGGTATGAGGACAGTCATGGGGTCAATGGCCTACAATTATTGCAAATAATGGCTTATGGCCTGGCTTCATGGTAATTTAAAGAGATCTTTAATGCAGAAGTTAAAATACATGAGTCAGAACAGTTGGTTCGACAAAAATGAACAATGCAAAGAGGTAAAATCTGGAATGGATAGTTTTGCTTGGTAATCAACATTCATAATTTCAAGTGTTTAAGCAGAGGCTGGCAGGCTGCCTCTTGAGACTATGGTAAAAAGGATTCCTGCACTGTTTATTTTAAATGGCTCTTTCAACTTGAAGATTCTGATTTTTAGGTCTTTCCCAGATTCAAAGAATGTGTATTCCACAGATAAGATAGAGGGTTCCCATAAGTTCCTGTCACTGGGATCTGTCTTAGAAATGAGAACCCAACCTGGGTGGAGGTCGAAAAGCAAAGTGAACAGTTTTATTGGTTGACATTTACTATGTAAAGTAAATCCTTTGTGTAGTTCAAAAAAGTTTATATATATTTCACATATATATTCATATATTTCAATAATCCTATCAAATGCATAATGGCAGAGATTACATGTAGGAAAACTCATAAGGAAAATCAGTAACTAAGATTATATCAGGAATCTTTAAAACATTCATAATTCCATTTTTGAGAATCTATCCTAGAGAAATATTTTGAAATACAGAAAAAAAAATTATATGCACAAAGATGTTCATCATGGAATGTTTGTAATAGAAAATATAAGAAATGTTCAGTATATGAAAATATGGAATAAACTGAAATAAATATTTGATAAAATAGTATTTGACGATTAATATTACCTAGAAAATCTTAAAATTCTATCCTAAAACATTTCTTTTATTTTTAACTCATTAAAATGTATATGAAGTAAAACTATAATATATAATTCTATTTTTAAAATTTCTCTAGGAATATCTTTAGTTGATAACAAAGACTTCATTCTCTTAGTTACTAGAATTCTATATATGCCATCATTCTTTAAATGGTTCTCTTGCAGATGAGGAAATAATCCTTTTACTTGAAAAACACCCAATCAGTAGCACTAAGCCAGAAGTATGAATTAAGGGTGTGCCGTGTGCAAAGCCCTGCCACGAGCATTTTAAGAGATCAGAAAATAAGACAGTCTCCACCTCTAAGTCTCTTACAGAGGCCAGTGAGAGCTAAGACCTAAACCACCTAAGGCAGTTAAAATGGCAGACTATTACAGACAGGGGCACTCCTAGGGCTCAGATGATGGGAGCCTCCAGTTACCATGTCTCAAGGAGCACTGACAATGAACAGCTGAAAAATGGACCTGATCGAACTCAAAGTAAACGAAGTACGTTTTCAGAAGAAACCCTAAAGGACCAGAGCCCTTATAAAGAAATGACAGGCCACGGTTGTTTCTGCAGGGGCCTGTGTGGTCCGAGATGCCACTGGGAGCATGAATGACACCATCATTTCTGGGATAAACTGCAATGGTTCAGCAGCCTGTGGGCTGGGCTACGACTTCTCAAGATGCCGACGTGAGCCATGTCAGTATGGGCTGATGAACAATTTCCAGGTTTGAACTGCAAAATAATAATAATAACAATGTTTATTGCTGTTGTTTTCATTTTTAGAACATCATCTATAGTAAGACTTCTGAATCTGCAACTGAGTGATTGTTGATTGATTTGAATCAGTAAGGAATAATCCATGTGGTACAAAAAGGAATCCTCCTGCCATTGTGTGGTAGCAAATCCTGTGGTTACATTTACTACAGTAGGGAGACAATAGGTGCTGTGAGAATTGTGTCTCCAGGAGAGATCGCCACCTAGTACTATGTGTCTTCCAATCAATTATACATGATTTCATGGTGGAAGGGAGAGGTCGTTAGCACTGGGAATGCATGTCATGCTTGGACTTCAGCTTAGGAAAAGCCTCTGAGGTGGCCCTGGAGTGTCTGGGAGACGAGGCCAAGAAAGAAATTGCGATTGGCAGAGGAGGGAGGTAAATGAGGGGGTAGGAACAAGGGAAGTTGGGAAAACTGTAGGACTTGAAACATATTAATTTGTTTGCATGATTGGTGAGCAGAGGGAGAAGTAAATTTGTCGTGAAGGCTTCATTCATCTATTTTAACAAGCAACAAAAAGAAATTAACTCAACTGAAGTTATTATTCCAAAATATGACTTAAATTGATAGAATCTCATCATGTCTGGGATAAAAAATTATGTTTAATGAGTAGACAAAAAGCAAAGGTTTGAAAAGCCTCTGTGCGCAAGAAGAAGAAAAGCTAATGCCTTTTCAAAGACTGGTAAACAGCTGAGGCCCTCCTCAAACCTCATTAGAATATCACTTTCTGCTGGATAGAATTTCCCATCATCAAAGAACCATATGACCACAAAGAACAGAGGGGGAAATGTTGTCAAAATCTTTGAAACCGTTTTCTTTTTTATTCTTTCCAGTATCTTCTAGGTGTATTGTGGTGAGAATTTATTATTTTATAAATTTTAAAAAGGCCATTTCCATTTTGATAAAGTAAATATTAAGAACTTGAGAATGAAGCAGGTGGTAAAAAATCTGGTTAGAAGCAATTACCTTATAAAAGAGATTACAAATCACAGAAAGTGGAAAGAGAATCATTGCATAAAAATTTGGCTATTTAAAAAAAAAATTTTTTTTTTTTTTTACTGTCTTTTGGATGAGTCTCCTTACTTGAGCCTTTCTTTTCAAGGTCATGAGCATGGTGTCAGGGTTTGGCCCCCTCATCACTGCTGGGATCTTTTCTGCAACACTCTCCTCCGCACTGGCCTCCCTCGTCAGCGCACCCAAAGTGTTCCAGGTAATACAGGCACAAGAGCTGTTTCCACTGAATGTGGATCAAGCTGAAATATTCATTCTCACTGGCAATCATTTTCCATCATTTTCTGAAACAGTTAATGTTTGCATCTGGCTCAAGTGCTATGTCTGCCACATAGTCAAGATCGATTCAAATAATATAAAGAATGATAAACTGCAGTGTTAACTTGTGCCTCATATTGTGTATCGCTTAATCTCTCCCCAAATCTTCTTGTTTGAATCACCTAGGGAAAAGGACCGTGCATAGATATAAATGACAAATTTCTCCTCTTCTTTTCCATTAGGCTCTGTGCAAGGACAATATCTACAAAGCTCTGCAGTTCTTTGCAAAGGGATATGGGAAAAACAATGAACCCCTGAGAGGATATCTTCTCACTTTTGTTATAGCCATGGCGTTTATTCTCATTGGTTTGTACTTTTCTTGTTTCTACTGAAAGCCAAAGAATTCTTCTGATTACTCATAGGGTTTCCTTTTAGTTTGAGAAATTACCCATTTTATGTTTAAGATCCCTTTTGGGAATACTGGAGTCTGTCTAATAGGAAATGAGAAATCCTTGTGTGTAGAGGACCCCTGAGGAACTTAAGGTAAACTTTGGACTTGAATCCATTCTTTGAATCTGAGTGTTGGAAACTCATCCAACCTAATGCAACAGAATCCTTTCTCCACCCTGCCTAATGCTATCTGATTCCAGAGTCTTTCCCAGCTGCCATATCTACTGGCCTGACAGCTAGGAGAATTGAATTGTCTGTGTTAATGTTTCTCAAAATGTGGTCCATTAGCCATCTATATCAGAATCATGTGGGGTATTTGTGAAAGTGCAGATTTTTCAGGCCAAACTCCAGACTTACTGAGTCAGAATCTTCTGAGGATACAGAATTTGCATTTTACAAGTTACTCAAGAGATTCATAGACCACTAGGATTTGAGAACCACTTTCCTAGACCATAATCTCGGCTTCCTCTCCACAAGCAATATAGAAACTTCTTCATAATCTTGGAGGCACACATTCACCAGCTTCAGCTCACACAACCCTCACTCCTCCTGAGGACCCACTGCTGCTGGCAAATATATCAGAGGAAAAGACACAAGAGGCAAAGGATGGGAACTGGGCCCGGGCGGGCAGAGCCTTACCCAAGACTGTGGTGCCAATGATGGCTCCTTGTCATTACATATTAAACTCAGGAAGTGACTGCAATTCGCAAATCCTTGTAAGATATCTGTAAGATTGAAGAGGGGAATACATAACTCTCTACATTTATTAGATTTATTAAAAATTAAATAAAGAGCGATTACATATAGAGATGTTTCAGTTATATCATTTAGCTTTTAACATCTCAAATTATTGCCCTACACTGCATTTAAGTAATCAAGCAGCCAAAGTTTAAGTTTTTTTGTATAAATTAATCTCCTTTAAAAGCCACTCTTTCAGAACAATGTGGATTAGCTCCACGCTCAAGCTTTATGGCAGCTGTTTTTGCCTGCTTCCTTCTTGATATCCATGTTCTAGAATCATACACGACTGCCACCTGCATTTCCATTGTTGAAGCTGATAGATGTCTGACCTTCAGATGAGGGAGGATGTCTCTATATTTTTTCTTATATCACACAGTATACAGTCCAGCTGGGATTAAACATACTGGTTATCTAGTCACTGAGGTAAACATGCTTCTGGTAAGTCTTGAGAGATAGAACTCTCTAGAGATGTGGAATAAATGACTAACAAGTGTCCTGAAAGTCAGAGAGAGCGTATTGGATACGGGTAGAGAGATTTCCAGTTGCGAGTTTCTGGGACACTGGTATTTAACCAATCTGTCACCCTGCACAGCCTTTTGATTGTATACATAGCAGGCAAAGAACATAGGATTGGGTGTATCCAGAACAGGGGAGTTTACCATATGCCCCGTCCCCCAAACCTCTACCCACTCTCACTTAAGTTTTTGTAGGTAGGGATCTTGATTGTCTATTTTCTGATTGGTAAGTTTTCTTGCCTGTTAGTTTATGGAAACCCTAGCTAAGAGTATATCTATAGCATCAAAGAAAAATCACCAACTTCTTGAGCTTTGACAGATGCTAGCTATGTTTTCAATTTCCGAATAAAGTCAAGCTTCCAGGCTCTAACAGCTGCTCAGCCCCTGGTCTCATCACTCATACGTACGTGTTCAACTCTGCTTTTTTTTCAGCGGAACTGAACACTATCGCGCCAATCATCTCCAACTTTTTCCTGGCCTCATACGCGCTTATTAATTTCTCCTGCTTCCATGCCTCTTATGCCAAATCTCCAGGTATGTTGACTTTTCAAAACAAAAATAAGCCTAAGCAAACAGTTAGTTTGTCTCAACAAAGTGTAACAGGTCAGTGAAAAGTGTTCAGTCTGTGTTTATAGGTTTCCTTATGTCCTAGTAGGCAACATAATCCACTTTATGTTGGTGAGTTGGGGGGACGACTTCTGAAATAGAAAAAGAATCATTTGAGCAATGGCCTTTTTGACCAACCGTAAAGTCAATTTTCTCCTGTGGCAATAAATTATTCATTGCAAGAGAAACCACATTTATTTCAGCAGTAGAAAAACACCACTATTTATTTCCAGGGTGCAAGTGACCACAGAAGTGGAATTAATGTATATATTTGAAGCTTCCTCACTATCAATTTGTTTCCTGCCCATGGTGCAGAAGAGGAGGATGAGTAGTTCCCATAATTACCTGCTGAGCGCAGACTCACGTTGTTCCCGCCATGCTGATGCCAGTGGCACCAGGACACACCCCGGGCTATGGTTTAAAGTCGTTCAAAATTTCACACCAAAATTTCACACTTCCCTTATCTAGCCAGCCCTTATCTCTTCTTAGCGTCCATGGGCCGATGCAGTTTCCTCTGCCTTCCCCCCAGATTACAGACTTGTTATTATCAACCTTCAGAAGGTTCTTCACCATGAGAAATTTTATCAGGGATAATTGCCACTCTTTTAGGACCTGCCAAGATCTCAAGACTCCTTTGGAAAACCTGCTGCCAATAAGACAAAATGCAGATGGGAGGGGAAGATAACAGAGGACTTTTTGTTTCTGTTTTGCAGTGTTTTTTTAAACACGTAGAAATGTGTGACTCCATGCCATGTTATGGCCATTTTTGATATACAAGGTGAAGTAATAGAGGCAGGCAGAGGAAAGAGTGAAAAGGAGAAAGGGAAAAAGGGAAAAAGAAAAAGACAGAGGAAAAATGGAAAAGCTTATAGTGGAAGACACATGGACACCCTAACCCAGAAAATGTCTCTCTCTCTCTCTCTCTCTCTCTCTCTCTCTCTCTCTCTCTCTCTCTCTCTTACACACATACATACAGATAGACAGAGACAGAGACAGACAGAGACAGAGACAGAGAGAGAGGAAGCCAAAGAAAAATAAGGGTATTTCCAGTGATGTTCTTGAAGTGCTATTTCCACCTTGTGGTCATTTAGGAAATTGCTCCTGAAGACTTTCAAAGTCCTGTTGTGCTTTGTCAACTCCAAAATTAAAACGTACTTTACTCATAGACCAAATGTGTCCTCCAAATCAGAGCTTCCCCATCCTGACCATTCTGTCTCCCAGCTTGACATATTAATGCATGACATATTAATGCACTGGGCTTAAGAAGCCATTGCTAGAAGAATTTTCCCCTCTTTCCCCATAGATTGTTATTTCTGAGAAGGCAAGCACTATCCTCTTAGGGTAATGGAAGAGTTCCCCAGAGGTCAAGCAGATTGACTCTTGTTGACTGCTCTGCCTTCTCCATGGGAGCAAAAGGCTCATTGTCTTAAACTTCTCTTTCTTGGAACACCAAGAAGTTTCTCCCCCACACCTGGTAGACCCCACTCTTTTTATCCCTTTTACCTCCTTTCAACTCCCGATGGCATAAATATTAGATGCTTAAAGTTTGATAGTTTGGGAAGACAATCCGTGGCATGCAGGAAGTATGGAGGGGGCTGGAGTGGCACATTTTCCAGATACTTAACATTTTCTAAATTTTGCAGCATCGTA